ATGCCACTTGCTCAGGTCACCACTAGCGAGTGATGGGCCAGGTGACACATCCAGGAGGCCAACTCCAGGACCCAAACCACCCTCTATGTGGGGTACTGAGCAGAACATCATGGGCTCACTCCGAATGATACTGGGAAGAGTCTGGGTCGTAGGAGGAGAGGCTCGTGTCTGGCACAAGGAACCAAGATGGGCATAGAATTTTATATTCAGCAAGGCCCCCATGATGCAAAATAAAAATCACGCATAGAGATAGAGATGGGGACAGGCAAAGGCAATCTTTTCCTAATGAGCACACATTTCCAATGGAAGAAAGCACACCCAAAACATCCTGCCCAAGGACTCTGTAAATGAGGTAGTGTCCCCCCTGACCCCCTCTGGCAGGTGATGGAGGTGAGCACCACTGAGGGAAAGAGCCCTAGACTGGAAAAGGGTGGCCTGGGGAGGGGGTAGGGTGGAGTCCCAGGCTGGCCCTGGCACGGCTGGCCCCATTTCCTCAGCTGTGTCATTGGGGCCTGATGAGGGGTTCTGGAGGCTTCTCAAAACTCCAGAGCCTGCGATACTGGACTCTGCCTTTCACCACAGTCCAGAGCCCCCTTTCAGAGTACTAAAAATGAAACAAAATCAGGATGTGTGTTTTGCGATGACAGACGTATAGCATCCAGTTGTCTTCCAGGGAATGAGCCTACGATTTTAGCAGGGTTGTTTTTGAGCCTTACTAACTCAGGCTCGTGTGTTTGGCAAGGAGATCCTTCACTTGCACGTCCCAAACACTACTGTGCACACGCACGCACCCATGCTCACCCCGAGGCTCAGCAGAGCATCTGAATTGTTTGTATCAGCCCTAATTAAATGGCCCCTAGCAAAGAGAAGCCACCACCAGCCTCCTGTGGACAGCCACGTCTGCCTCACTGCCCATTGCATCCCACCCCATGAGAGCCTGCAGAGCCCGCAGAGAAGCTGCCTTGGGCATCACAACCACGGCTTCTGCAGGTGACTGTGGACCCTGGGCCTGGCTCTCATTTGTTCCACTAGAACACCAGCAGGCTCGCCTTAAGGCAATTCTTCCACATACCTTATGGTGCAAGTTTAACAACAGATCCATTTCTTTTTTATTTTTTGGCGGCTGGCCAGTCCGGAGATATGAACCCATGATCTTGGTGTTACAAGGCTGTGCTCTAACCAACTGAGCTAACCGGCCAGCCCAATAAACCTACTTTTGCCAGGCAGTGACCCTGACCCCTGGTGCCCACATTTGGCCCACAGGGAATGGGGATCAGAGAGACCCCTGGGCCTGCCCACGCTGGAGGGGGACTGACCTGGGGACCTGCACAGCTGATCTTGAAGATGTCGCAGTAGTGAAGCTGGGGCTGCTGAGGGAATGGGGGCTTCGTAGGGAAGCTGCCAGCAGAGTGGGCCCTGGGGCTGCCTCCTGAGCTGCTCCGCGGTGCTGAGCCCATGGGGGGCACTGGCAGCAGGGAGGGCTGCTGCTGGGGGGTTTCCAGGGGAGGTGGGAGCTGCATCTGCAGGGTGAGTGCTGGAGCATAATAGGGACAGGCTGCTGAGTCACCAACTTGTCATAGCTCAGGTAGCTTGGTCCTAAGAAGTGGAGAAAAAAATGAGAGAGGAAGGGAGAGTTATTGATTTCCACCCAGTTTACTAGGGGAGCAGATGTACCGACCGCCTGTGCAAACATATGTGCACAGGGAAACGATGGTCCTACTGGTATAAGGGGTACAGATGGGGTCATATGAGGACAGGGGGTAGGAGGCTGTGGTGGAGACAAAGGCGTCAGGCTGGACACTCATTACCATGGGGTAGGTGTGGCCCGAGGATGAGGTGCTCACCAGCTGCCCAACCATTGCTGTGGGCACCTGTTGTGGGGGCTGGGCTTGGCTGTGGCCACCGCTGGGCTGCCCATAGCCTCCTTTGGTCCCTAGAGAACAGGCTCAGGCTCTCTGAAGAGCCACCCCCTCCCTGCTGTCCCTGCCTGCCCTGAGCCTGTGGATGGGCCCCAGCTCGGCTGGCTGGTGCGTGTGGGAGGATGAAGTCAGGATTGGAGACCAGAGCCCTGGGCTAGGACCCGGCAGTGCCTCACGTGTGACCCTGTGCCCACCACTTCTGTCCAGACTCTGGCTTCCTCCTCCACGGCCATGAGGGAGAAGGGCCGTGTGTGTCTTCCATGAGTTCCTACACGTCTTCCACCTCTAACACCCAAGTCCTCCACTGAACTTAGCTCCTTCCATCCTGGGAAAGCTTCCTTGAAAAAAGAAATCTAGCTCCACCGCGAGTCTGGCCCTCACATGCACAGGGCTACCAGCTGGCCGAGGCTTGGGGCACATCTCAGAAGCCCAGCCTGACAGTCTCGCTACTCCCGATCTCCTGTGAGTCTAGAGTGTCTAAGGTGTCACCTCAATGAGCTCTTCCTGTGCTACAGCCAATGTCTCATTGCCCCCGCCCTCTGCCCCTGTGGATGACCCACCTGGCTGGTAGAGTGCATCAGAGGCTGGGGGCCGAGGATGGGCGTACCATCTGTCCTTGTTGCTGCTGGTGGCCATTGACTGTAGCTGTGACTGTCCTACATGAGGGTTTCCATGGGAGAGAGACAAAGAGCAGGGGACAGCAGCTCAGGGCCACACTGCACTCTGTCCGTGCTCATTCATTCCCACAGTTCTGGCCCCGAGCCCCTTCTCAGGACTAGGCCCTGGTTTGGGAGTTGGCGACATGGGAAGAACCAGGCCTCACTGTGCTTTATAAGAGGACTCTGGCTGTTGGGGAGCACGGAGAGGGCAGGCTTGGAGAGAAGCCCCCGAGGCCTTGGTGAATGGATGGAGAGAGGTGGGGAAGAGGGAGGGGTTAGAGGGTCCAAGCTTGGGTGACTGTGGCCTGTGATGCCAGTTACTGACATAAATGGGGATGTGGTGTGGGTGGCAGGGCTGAGGTCTGCATGGGACGCCTCTGTGACACCAAGTGGAAACACAGCAGCCAGATCTGCAGGGCCCAGAGCACAAGAAGGGTGAGGGTGTGTCCTGGCCTGTCTGGGGCTGTGTGGCCAAGGTCCCCTTCTCCCATGAGGCTTCTGCCTCCTTCAGAGACACCTGCTCAGTCCAGGTAACAGACAGGAGACAAAGCTCTGCACCTAGTCACTGTCCCCAAATGCCCCTCTGTGCTCCCCTTGTGAGGTTCCCTGAGAGAAGCCAATTCTCCTTTCGGAAGTGACTCTAATTTAACTGATTTCCCCCACATCACATACACACTGCCAGAAGAAAACACCAGAAGGAAAGATCGCAGTAAGGGGGCCGTGAGAAAAGGCATGTAGGGGGAGCGCCACGCTCATGCACACAATACCACAGTGCTTTCCAGTGAGAAGAGATGGCTGGATACCTGGTAGGCAGCTACAGTGGTGGGCACAGGTGTGGGCTCCTGGGGCTGGATGCTGTAACTGAAGTCCTGGCCGGTGTGGGACTGGGACTCACCCTGGCCCACCAGTGCAGTTGCAGGGAACACGGGTCTCCCAGTGCATGTTCCCGAGACCTCCCTGGGAGCCTGGGAACAATTTTAAGTGCTTTTCACAAATTAACACAAACTCAAAATTTTAAGTGCTTTTCACAAATTAACACAAACTCAAAACAACCATATGAGGTTAGGACTATCACTGAACCTGATTTACAGATGAGGAGACTGAGGCACAGTAAGTGTCAAAGTCAGGACTCGAAACAATCTACTTGTGTGGCACGCCTTTTTCTTAATGTCAAGATTCTTCAAAGAAAGGTGAAGTTCAACACTCTTTTTTTAACCAGTGGGAGAAAGCGAGTTTTTTTGTTTGTTTGTTTTTTTGTATGTCTAGACCATTCAGGCAGTACATGTGAATTGAGCTGAATGTGGACAAATAAAGAAAAAGAAAACTGGAAGAAAAAAAAAGAGAGGAGGAGCCACCAGGACTGCATCTGGACAGCAGAAGGCCATGTGAGGACACGGCAAGAAGACGGCCGTCTGCAAGCCAAGGAGAGAGGCCTCGGGAGAAACCCGCCCTGCTAGCACCCTGATCTTGGACTTCAGGGCTCCAGAGCTGTGAGATAGTAAATTTGTTGTTTGAGACGCCCAGTCTGAAGTATTGTTATGACAGCTGGAGTGGACAGGCGGTGATGGTCATAGAGGGGAGAAGCCAAAGGCAAGGACTATTAGAAGACACAAGACACTTAGGAGCAGAACCAGAGAGAACGGTCGACATGGGAACAGAGCACACAAGTCCCCACATCACCTGCAAAGAAAAGGTCCAAGCCAGCTCACAGTAGTGCTGGGCTTTAAAATACCTCAAACAGGGACTGGGGATGGTGACTGTAATAAGTGTTTGTCACAATGATCAACGTAATGACAGTGACCCAAAAAAGGACCACTCGGCCACCTCATCTTGAGTAATCACTCAAGACACCATGAGCCACCAACACACACATGCACATGCATGCACACACATGCACACATGTACATGCACGCTGCGTGTGGTGTGGGAGGGTAAATGGGTGATGGTGGGAGGGTGAAGTGTCATCCCACTTTTATTCAGCTGAGCAAGCGTGTGCATGGAAGTGGAGCAGGGAGCGTGTCTCCAATTAGGGGAGGGCGTGTCCTTATTAAGGGTCTCTTTCCCCTTTTAGGAGGAGAGCTGGGTGTGGCAGAGCCCAGAATAGGAAGGAGGGAGCAAGGGATGGGTTTTAAAGACAGGGGTTGGCCAAATGTGGCCAACTCTGGCTCACCACCTGTATGGCCCACAGGCTAAGAACAGTCTTTACATTTAAATGGTTGGAAAAAATTGGCTGGCCATGAGCTCAGTTGGTTAGAGTGTGGTGCCAATAACACCAAGGTCAAGCGTTCAGATCCACATACTGGCCAGCCACCAAAAAAAACAAATGGTTGGAAAAATTAACAGAGTAATATTTCATGACACGTGACCGTGATAGGAAATTCACATTTCAGAGTTGAAAAATAAAGTTTCTTGGCACACAGCCATGTCCATTCGATCACATACTGTCTGTGGCTGATTTGGTGCTACAATGGCAGAGTTCAGTAGCTGCCACAGACTATGTGGCTCACAAAATCGAAAATATTTCTGTTCTGGCCCTTTACAGAAAAGGTTTGCTGGTCCCTGGCTTAAAACAGCAATCATGGGGCCGGCCCAGTGGCGCACTGGAGAGTGCACTGCTTGGGAGCGCGGTGGCGCTCCCGCCGAGGGTTCGGATCTCATGTGGAGACTGGTTCCCGCTCACTGGCTGAGCACGGTGCAGGCGCAACACCGAGGGTTGCGATCCCGTTGCTGGTCCCCGATACGGGCGCGACACCGAGGGTTGCGATCCCGTTACCCATCAGTAAAAAAAGACAAAAAGGAAAAACAAAAAACAAAAAAAACCCCCCAGCAATCATGTATCTCACTCATGATCCTGCAGGCAGGGCTGAGCTGGTGGCTCTCCTGGTCTTGGCAGGGCTCCCTCCTGCATCGTTGGTTGGCAGTGTCAGATGGGGCACTGTGGCACTCTCCCTGTGGTATCTCCTGTGCCAGCAGGCCAGCCTCGGTCCCTAACAGCAGGATCCCAAGAAATGGAGCGGATACAGGTGAGGCCTCTTGAGCCTAAGCTTGGTACAGGCAGGGCGTCACTCCCGCTGCAGCCTATTGGCCAAGCAAGGCACCAGGAAGGCCAGCCACAAGGGCTAGGGCACCAGGCTCCATTTCCAGATTGGGAGAGTGGCAAGGTCACAGTGGAAAGGTCTTAGATATAAGAAGAAAGGAAGGACAAGGACATTTGGCAACAAACCTACGACATTGTGGTTTCAGGAGCTGAGTAAGAAAAGCACAGCTCATTGGTTGCCAAAACCCAGGAAATCTAGAGCAGTGGTCCTCGACTAGAGAAAATTTTGCCATGCCAGGGACACTGGGTACTGTCTGGGGACATTCGTGGTTGTCACAACTGGAGGGTGTTCCTGGCATGAAGTGGGTGGAGGCCAGCCACGCTGCTCGGCATCTGCAGTGCCCAGGATGGCCCCACAACAGGGAGTGATCCAGCCCTAGTGTCCACAGTGCTGCCACTGAGAAACTCGGATCTGGAAGGACAGGGCTGGGGTCCCTGAGGTTGGGGACTGGGGATTAGAGCCTAGCATTGGGTGTCAGTGGAGGCTGCTGCTTCAGCCCAGGCTCCAGGTCTGATGGGGAGGGGCCCACACCCCTTCTCTGGTTTCCCATGGTAGGAGGTCATGCTGATCACTGCTGGCTTTCTTGTAATTTCTCACAGCATTTTTCCACTTCAAGAATCGGATCAAAGCTGTGACCTCCCATGCTGCCCTGGTTCCCTGAAAACTACACAGACAGACTTGCCTGTAGTCACCTTGGGCTTCCCTGACCCCAGGTTAAGAATCCTTGCCATAAATGGGTGGATCAAAAGGCATTCATTGAAGTTAAATGGAAAATTTGACGTTATATATATTTTGTCACCCCCTAACCAAAAAAAAAGGGACCAAGGCTCTGACACATGCTACAAAATGGATGAACCTTGAACACATCATGCTCAGTGAGAGATGCCAGACATACAAGAAAACATTCTGGAATTAGATTCTGGGGATGGGTGCACAGATCTGTGAATATACTAACAACCGCTGAACTGTACACTGTAAATGAGTGCATTTTGGTGTGTGAGTTATATCTCAAGAAAGCTACTTCTTTAAAAAGCATCTGTGGAGCAAGCATCAAGGTGCTCAGCACCTTGTATCATTATCTCCAAGGCCAGTTCACATCTGATCAAGACACACAACCATAAAACATATAAGCTGTGGATTTCTACTGACAATAATAAAAGAGCTAACCAATGTGTATAATTAATAACTCCGACTGGACTTACCCCCCCCCCCTTTCCATTCATGCTCAGGCTGCTGAGACCATCAAAACTTATTGACCACAGAGATGGGAAAGTGAAGAGAGAAGGTTATTTGGGGCCGGGGGCCATGTCTAGTTCTTTCTGACTTTTCTAGCAATTACCACATAACAGGCACTTAACAAATGTCTGCGGAGCGCCTCATTCAGAGACTCCTGGGATAGCAGATACCACCGATCATGTAAATGCACCAATCTCTGACCAAAAATGACAGTCGGTGATCATAGAAATGGTGTGAGCTCAGAAGAAACTAGGATCCTTCATCCAATAGAGAAACCACTCAGGACATGAAGCATAAAATAAATTATGCTGGGCAACTGGCTTAGGGATCATGATGTAAAAGCAAGGGACCAAAAAGAAGCAGGAAACTTACCAGCACAGGAAGAATCCCTTTTAAATTTGTACAAAGTTGGAATGCTTCTGCTAACCTACTTCATTCATGGTTTCTTTAAAAATGTGACCTTTTAACTTGTATTTTAAACCTCAACTTAGCATGAAAAATCATTTGCATTTTTAGAACAAGA